TCTTGTGCTGAGGGCTCCTGAGCTGGACGCAGTACTCTAGGTGAGGTCTCACCAGAGCAGAGTAGAGGGGCAGAATCACCTCCCTCGACCTGCTGGCCACGCTTCTCCCGATGCAGCCCAGAGTACAGAGTTCCTTTACAGCCTGACTGTGCTACACACTTATCATCAGCTTCTCAGTTCTTCTTTCCTTGTTCATTCTTTTAAGGTGGTTCCAGATGAATTCTTCACTGTTCTGCTTTTCAGACCCAGTGTCTTGTCTTACTGGGTCACAAAGTTTTGGACTCTTTCAGCTCTCAGTGAAGCAAAGGAGCAGCAAACAACTTGTTTCAAGCTTATCAGAAGTAAACCATGACTAGCAACTCTTTGTCTTAGGCTGGTGCTGCCATTTCATCTTGTGCTTGCTGTCCAAGCAGTAACCTGCAAATAGACATATCCATACCCTTCTTTGGGGACAGACAATACCAGTGCCTCCATAAAGACCTGCAAACAGATGGTATAGCTTCATTCTCCGTGGTCACGCCATTCCTCTCACTTGCTCCAGACGATGCATCCTGCATTGTCAGCCAGTCCCATCAGAGCCAAAGTTCAGCAATTGCAGTTACCTTTTGGACTGCAGACCCTCACCAGATTATCTTCTGAAATCTTCCCATTCTCTAGATTTTCAAGACTCATCATGCACTCTTCACAAGACCAAAACAGCAGTACAGCCTTGTTCCCTAGTAAGTTTGACCATGACCCCAGATGCTTCCAGTGCTTCTTTTCAGTGCAAGAGTTTTTGACAATTTAGCATACCTGTGATGAAATACACATTTCTTTCAAAGTTCCCTAATTAATCTTCATGCCAATTCATCTAATAAACCAAAGGAATCTCGAATTCTTCACATATCAGAAATTATCAGATAATGTGGAAACGTTCTTCTTTCTCATAAACTTTGAATTATTGTCTATCAAGTTTTTTCCATTCTCAAGGCTTTTTTTGAAGATTAAGAAAAAATTGGCTTTTCACTTACTTGTAGCTGATATCATAGTTGTTTGAAACGCTTCAAGATTTGTTGGGTGAGATACTTCTGGAATCTGCCCATCTGTCAAAGCAGGCAGGAGAGCATCTCATAACATAAACAGTTGCATCTCTGACTCCTCTATAGAAGCTCTGGCATTTCCAGTTACTCCTACTTAACCACTTGGTCTTGAAACCTTTTCCTTATTACCGTATGGATCTATCTGACAGTTCCCAGAACTTATTCTGCAAGTGATGGAAGGTGTTATTTAATTAGAATGTTAGACTCAAATATTTCCTTGAATAGAGCATGCTCTTTTCATTCCCTATATGGAGCTATAAGCAGTTGTGTATCTTGTTCAAGTAGAGTCAGATGTGGCAGTTTTCACCCCGTGTTGTCGGATAGGAGGGAATTCTTACTTAACATGTAATTAGGGCATTCTTGTCATGGTTAGCAACCAGCACTTTGAGATTAGAGTTTAAATTTGATTGAGTCCCCTGGTTTTCCTATGCTGCTTCATGCACTGCTCACCATTCTCCCAAATGTCTTCCAGTTAAGTCCACTCTCAGAAAGAGTTGCTAAATCTGCCATTCAGGAGGACTCCCCTCCTTGCCTTCTGGATATTATCTTAAAGTCTAAGAGAAGCACAGCATAATTTGGGTATACGGATGATCATTACATTGTCTTTAAGGAGAGCTCAGCTGGCTGGATGCCTTCTGAAAAGTATGTCTCTCTTCTAGATGCTGCGGTATTCTGGCAACATTCACCTTTTTGAGTGCGATAGGTAAGAATCACACAGGAGATATTGTTGGAGGCAAGAATCAAATAGAAAATACTTCTGGGACCACTTAGGTTGGCAAATCATTAGATCCAAACAGGGCCTTAGATCTGAGTCACAGCTTATTTGTTGTTTTGTGTAACTGGGTAGCATGAACAGAGTAAATGCCATTGCTCTATACCATTGAGTGCTTCATAGTGGAACATGTATAGAAGCTGTTCCAGTTGTTTCAGAATTCCAGCCTCCCCGTACCCTATCATGCTTATAAAAAGAAGAGAGACATACTTTTCAATTTGGGGAAAAATGAGCGATGTGCCATTTCAGTGGAATGTGCCACAGCCAGTGCTATATATATCTGTTGAAAAAACTAGGGAAAAGTGGGCTTTAATTTGATGAACTTTGTCTCTGAAGCTATCTTGGTTCATACAACTCAAGGAGGGGACTCATTTAACTGCATAATAGATAGTAAAAGTGCAGAGACAATTTAATATGTATGTAATATTGTAATGTTATATGTTGGCAGTAGCAGTCTCCGTTCAGATGATCACGTGCAATTTATTTTCACACCATCCAACCTTAAAACAAAGGAAAGCTAGCTTGAAAATCCTTTAAACAAAACCAAAATACCCAAGTAGTTAAAAAAGCCACCTCCAATATTGGGTCACGGTGAGGTAGAACAGAAAAGAAAATTAAGTATATTGTAGAATTGAGCAAGTTACAGTTCTCATCACCACAGGATTTTGGAAGAAACTCCTCTGTTCCCCAAAAGCACAAGTGTCAAAAGGCACTAAAATACTTTGTCTCCTTCCAAATGCTAGTGGGAGCAGAGGGCCACATTTGGAAGACCAGCCAGGTTGTCCTCAGAAGACAGTCCTGTTTGGTTACATCTCCTGACACACTTTGCCACTAAGCATAGTTTTCTCCCACATAGCTCCTACAGCTGCAGCTGTATTTCATGTTTTACTGGGAGTTAGGGCAGCTGGAAAGGCAGAGCCCCCTTCAGGGGCTTTGGGATGATGCTGAAAGACTCCACATGTATTCAAATAATTTAGCTGCCAGCCAGCAGAGGAATGTAAAGGCACAACTACCCATAAATGTATTTGGAAAAGGAGTGAGGATTTGTCTGCCCTCACCAAGCAAGCTTGGCAGAAGTAGAAAAGCTGGAGTCCTACAAGTGCTGATTTCAAGATCATGCATACAACCTTGTCAGCTCATGCAATTTTATCATTAATGCCACAATATTTGCCATATTCCTAAAGCCTTTCTCCTGGAATCAAATAATCTTCCACAAGGAGCAGAAGTTTTGTTTTGTCAGGGGTGGCTGTTTTGGTGGAAGTTTGCACAGGCAAGGAGTGAGTTAAAAAAAATTATGTTCTCACAGCTTCCAAAATGAATCTTGGAAAAAACGAAATTAAATTCAGGTTAAAAAAAAATCAAAACTTATTTTAAATAAACGTCACGATTTTGGAAGCTTGTTGTGATTTTTGAATAATTTTGTTTAGTACTTGTTTTTCTTGGTCACACAGTGAAGTTACTTACTGATTATGTTCCATTCCTACAAATTTATATTTGCCTTGTGGTGGTTAAAAAAAAAAAGAGATAAAAGAAAAAATATAGGAACTATACATAGATCCCTTAATTTAATGTGCTGTGGAGGTAAAGTTGCAAACACTGTGGGAAGGACAACTGTGATCATAGGAATTTGTATAGTTTTGATATGCATCTATGGAAAGGTAATTATTTATTGTTTTCAGAGAGGAAGAAACCAAGTGTAAGCAACAGATGTCAGACAGTTTGGGGTGATTTAAATCCTTAGCAGATCAAGGGAATATTATATTGGTCAAGACATTAATATGATTAGAATAAAATATATCTGGAACTATGGAAAGCTCTTTGATATATTTCTAATACGTTCTTTCACTCTTCCGAGATGTCTGCTGATGTTTGTCTGAGATGTGTATTCACATTTTCCAAGTGTTTTTAAACTTTAAAAGAAATGAAAATCAAAAATGAACATGCTTGATGTTGGTACCTGGAATGCATACATGTGTGTGAGCACACACATCTCATAGTTTTCTTCTTTCTTAATTTAAATGCAAGTGCAGGAGGTGCGCTGTTTAGAAAATCATTCCTAAATATATTAAGCAGATCAGATTTAATGTTTTGGTTTGTATGGCAACTCTGAGACAGATGAAAAATAGCCTTTAAAAACTTACAACTCGGAAAACTATTCAGCTGGCAGCTGCTAAGTTAGGCTAATGTTTATCCTGACCTCAGTACTTTTACTCCAAGCATTATGCTGTTAGCTGTTCCAAGTAGCCTTGAACTATGAAGATAGGGTTAGTCTTTACAAGTCACATTTTCTGTGAAGTGGCTATTGGGGACAATCTTTGCTGTCAGATAAATGTTTCTAAAGGAAGAATTACTGTTTAAATTGATGTGCCTCCTTGACAGAATGGGATCCCTAGTTCCTGTTAATTTCAGGAGGGAACTCTGTAGTATTATCTAAAAAGTCTTTCAGATTTATTTTAAAAGCATTTACTTTAAGGCACCTTCTTTATGAAAAAGCGAAAGAAAAAGGCTATGGAGAGTGAAGTCTGTTTTATTATGCCTTTTATGGCCTATTAATTTGTTACCATCTATTCTGCTTTGTTGATGAAATTTTAATTTTGCCCTTGCTTGAGCATATTGTAAGATTTGTATAAACTGCAGCTCACTGTGCTAACAGAAAGGCTCTTTTAGGATGAACAATTGGAGCTCATTTTGTTTCTAGAGGACATTTAAAATAACTTATGAATGAGAGTTGTCAGACATGAAATGCTGTATTAATTAAATCTTATTCTAGTCTTTTTGCTTCTCCAGCTAAACCAACCCTTTAGAAAAAAAATACATGGCCACCTTAATTATATAGGAGAAGACAAAAAGTATCCTTCACATTCCTTCGCCTGAATAAGAATAAGAACTCAATTCATCTAAATAATAACCCCATTAGCTGCTTAACTCAACAGTGTACATGGGAAAATTTTCAACACAGAATGTAAGAAAGTGTTGATTGGGTGGATCATTTTCAAGGGTTTGTTCTTCTGATGTTCAAAATGATAATTTTAAGTAAATCTGATCTGGCAGGGTTATCAGCTTTGTACCGTTTATGACTTATGACAAAAGTGTGTGTTTATATACATGCTAATGCTTCTTTATCTTTTGAAATACAGCAACAATACCATTCAAAAATAGATGACTTGATTGAAGAAACTGTTAAAGAAATTATTTCACTTCTTGTTTCAAAGGTAAAACAATTTAAATTTTAATTTATAATAAAGCAAAGAAAAGTACCTCTCTAATTATTGAACTTCTGAAATGTCTTTATCATGCAGTTTTTCTGTACACAATGAGATTGGGGGGGACAGCAACATGATTTGTAAATAGCAGTCATCCAAGTAATGTGGAATTTACAAAATTAAATTTTATAACCCATTAGGTAAACAAGCTCTGTGCAAATTGCTAATTGGATAAATCTCTTCTGTGTTTCTGTTATAGAGAAGAACTGGTAGCAGCTAGTAGAACTGGTAGGACTTGATTATGTCAATATTACCTTAAGTAATAGCAGGTTTTAATTTTTTTTTTTAATTTTTCGCATGAAAACTTTCTTCCTATCACTAAGTAGTATTTAAATTTTGTATTTAAAGATGGACAACATCCAGAGTATGAATATAACTTTTAAATTAGATTTTGCACAAACCATTTAATTGAAAAATATTTTATACGTTGTTATTTCTTGAAATTAACTTTGTAGTTTTTTTATATTTAAAAATAAAATGTTTTGACATGGTATGGGAACTTGGAGAATAAGTGAAGAAAACTTAAACAATGTCTTATGTTACTGTAGCACCTCTACTCCAACAAAAGTGTTAAGTGCTTGATATAAAAAAAAACCTTTCAGTCCCTAATAGTTTGAAGGACACAGCGAATAATGACAGAACAGAAAGATTCCGTAAGATGTTTTGTTATTTATGCATTGCAAACTACCCAGAACGATCTGATTTTCAAAGTAGAAGAAATAAGCTGTACATTTACACTTTGAGAGTTAGTGGGGAAAAAAAATAAGACTGTGGTCATATTTTCATCGTGCCTTCATTTGCAGTTGTTACAGCTTGCTGGCACGGGGTTGAGGGAGCAGGAATCTCCTTTCAGACTGACACCCACCATGCATGCACAAGAGCGGAGGAGGAAGTTTTCTATAGAATTGTTGTAGGCGTTTAAGCAAAATGTGTCCACTTCCTGATAAATGTGTAAAAAATACACACATTTTTTCTCTGAAGCAAAGTTTTGATGTAAATGTAACTACAAATGGTTCAACTCAACAGTTTTAAGTTTTATATGCCGCCTGTCGTCGTTCCAAACTGACCTGTCAGTGTATGTTAGTGTTATCGAAGAGGACAAGGAAGAAAGGGGAATTTAATCAAAGCAAATCATGGTATTAAAAGCTAAACCTTTTCATTATTTTTTTTAATATCTGATACTGTAGAAGAAGGAAGAAAATAGTCATGTTCCCCCTGAATGTATGTGCAAGAAATTCTAGAGACAACTGCCATCAGTACAGAGGGATCTGCATTATTAGGTATCACATATAGTATTACCAGATGTTGAAAGCTCGGAACAGGAAGCAAATATTCTGTGTCACTGGCTGATCATTAGAAGCTTAACCAGTCCTCGCCTGAGATGTGAAATGCCAATGACATCCTGACTGCTTCTGTTTCGAGGTAGAAAGCCTCTGAGGGTGCAGAGGAAGGTTGATGTTTCACTCCTGGTTTTGGCCAGGAAAAAATGCACATCAATGTGCATAATATCTGTGTGTGTTCATTTTTTTCATTTAATATATTTCCATTAGTTTTTAGCCTTTGCCTCTGTATTATTTCCTTTGTGTTCCAGTGGAATAAGTGTTTTGATAATTGTTTTTAGCTGCAAGTCATCTATGAAAATAAAAAGAGTACTTTCACTTCAGCGAGACTTTACTTGGTAGAGACTATACTGTGCATTTTATACGCAAGACTTACCAAGCTAAAGCATTTAACAAATCGCAGGAATAGCACAAAACAGTGAAACAAAGCACGGAGTGTCTCAGGGTAACCAATTCAGAGAATGTGAGGTATACGCAGAAATGCTCTTAGAGCTTCACATGTCTGTACACTGAGATCTCAGAAAATGAGTTTCCAGTTTCATAACTACGCCTTCCGTTTAAATGGACATCCTTGACACTGCGATGTTTTGCTCTCTGTTCTTTTGTATCCCACTCCTATTGGAACCATCTGATGGCACTGTGGACACCATGTTGTTTGTGAGATCAGCCCCTTCCGTAGCGGATCTTTGCACAATAAGATTGAACACCCTTCTGCAGAAAGAATCCTTGCCAGTCAGATAAAATGAGTTAAAGTATGAGCGGCAGCTTCTCACAGGCATGCAACAGCAAAGCAGAAAGCTGGTATTTGGTCTAATAAAGGGACTGTAATTATACTGTGCATGGGGCGCAGAAACAACTGTGGTTTTATTCCTTGATCAGCACCTACGTGCTGGTGTCTTAATTAATCACTGTAAATATGACAGGTTAGATTGATAAATGACAAATGTAAGTTTGCACTTGCTCCTGCTCCTTGAACTGTTAAGAGCAGGGCTTATTGTAAAGTGATGATCTCGGTTCCTCTGGAGGTGACACTGTTGTGACACTGTTACAGTGCCCATTAACAGCATGCCAGATGGAATTTTGTTCTGTCCTCACACTCATAAAATGATACTCGTGGTTGTGGGAATGACTATGTTGGGAGCAAGGAATGACTTCTAAAACAATCTTTATATAAACCGGAAAGCAATTCATATGTGTAAAATAAATGTGTATGAATACAACGGCTGACAGGTATTTTATGTTATATACCATGAATGACCTGAGCAACATAGCATCACAGAAGGACGTGAGAAGGAGATTTGTTTGCTTTAAGGGTAATTTGGGGGTGTTTAAGCATTGAGGTTATAATTATGCGATTAATAAGATTTTTTTTTGGTCATAAATAAATTTTGGCGAAAATGCCTTTTAATGCCACTTGCTGAGGGTCACACTACTCAGAGAATCACAGGTGAAAGTATGGAGGAGAGGAACCACAACATACCAGAGATTTAGGGGCTACATTTTCTTGCCCCTTCTTGGCCATGTAGCTGCAGTTGAACAGCAAATGCTGTTGCTGAAGATGAGTTGGCAGAAAACTCTAGTGCTGTTACACTGTTGGGTTAAATCAGAGCTGGCCTTCTATTCAATAGCAAAGATAAGAGGAACATGATGTTGAGATCACCACCTTTAACAATTATGCTCCATCATCTTTGAAGCTGTGATCTTAGAAACTGTGGTCCTAGAAAATAATGTGTGTTTTCTACCCAAAATGCATGCTGGGTACACACACTCCTCTATTTAACCACATGTTCCAGAGATAGGAGAGAGGTGTTGGGTAGCAGACCCACATCAGGAGAATTTTTGGGTTGGTTTCTATTTCTGCAGTGGTTTAAGAATGATTTCCATCAGTTCGATCGATAGGTGAAGCTCAGAAAAGAATGTTGTCCTTGATTTCAGCACTTTGTGAGATGGAGAAATGGATCAAATTTACATTTTTTATTGCCCTCCTTCAACAATAAAAATCTAAGGAAGAACAACTCACATTCTCATTCAAAATCTTTACTTTTCATATTGTGTGCATTTAGATTTTTCTCTGTGCTTTCCCTCCAGGTTGTTTCAGTGTTAGAAGGTGTGCTGTCTAAACTGTCAAGATACGACGAAGGCACTTTCTTCTCATCATTAGTTTCATTCACTGTAAGTGTGTGGATTCACAGTGGTTCTCTTCTTCTTCTTTCTGGGCATAAATCTGAAATTGTGCACAATCTGTAGCAATAAGCACTTACTGTGTGTTGTTTTATTTTTATTTTTCTAAAGGTGAAAGCAGCTGCAAAATATGTTGACGTTCCCGTAAGTACAACCCTTTTATTTTTTCTAGTGTTCGTAATAATTAAAAAAATAGGGGGTTTGTTAGCTCACATTTTTTATTGTTGACATTTTGCTTTCCTACAGAGATTCATTATAGCTTTACACAGAGTATTTAAACAGTCACTACAACCCTCCGAGGGCATTTCATTTCCCTCAAGCAACGAGTAACTCTCAAAGCAAAGCTTAAAAAGGTTATTCTCAATGCACTTTTTCAGTTGCGGAAGAGTGAGGATTGTAACTTAGATACTCTTTTGTAGGGGTCCTTCCATCATTTGGCTAAATTGTTCAAGTGTACAGGAAAAGCAACAAGTAAAAGCACCATACTGCAATATCCATTATTTACTGATTTCTTACTTCAGGACCCAGTCTTGCTTATTTAATCCCTTGCTTGCTAAATGTCTATTTGATTTACCATTGCTTATGCAATGTTTGTGTGGTATAAGTAAAAACTAAAAAAGGTAGGTATTGGAGCTCTTCTGTACATAAAACTCAAAATTCAGCTATTAGACTGCTTTATTAGAATATCATAGTAGAAGATCTTTTCTTTAAAAAAGCAAGGAAGAAGTTATCAAATATTGTCATCATCACTGTCAATAAATATCCTTTGTTCTCTCACAAGTCTGTCTTCTCATCCCTTTTTAATGTGATTCCAAAACAATCTTATTTTCCAAGCATAGCAAAAAACAACTCCAATCGTTATGTTAATGACCTTACAAGAAATAAAATTACAAATATAGAAGAACGCCAGACATGCTAGACTGTATGGTGGCCAGAAATCCTTTCAGCAGTTCTATACTTAAAAATATAATACTTGCAAGCTTAAATTAATATTTTTTTTAATCCATGCATACAAAATAAAAAGAAAAATCTCTATTTCTGGAATCTGTTATTTTTCTATCTTTGTATTTGCTTTATTAATAAAATACCAAATTGTAACATTGCTGTTCAGATGATGTTTTCAGAATTTTTTTCTTATTTGGTTATGTGTGAACTTTTTGTTGAATTATATAAATGCTCTTGTGTTTTATAAAAAAGAAGAAAAAAGTAGTCCCAATCTTGCGTTCAAAGGAATGACCTCATATCAAATCCAGTTAATTTGGAGTACCTCTTGTTAATATATTGTGCTATGGAACTGCCCCAAAAGGTCCTTGGTAAGGCACTTAAGACTCAAAAGCCTAAAGAAAAAATTACTGAACAAACTAGAAATTCATTGATTTCTTTCAGGTAACATGAAAAACTCTCCAAATTACATAAAATATCTATGAGAAGGAAATGGCAAAGTCTTTCACCATTGGCCTGGATATGTTGGCATTGAAGTTCACAATAAAAGATGAGACTGAAAAACGCCTTTGCCACAAATTCAGGGGAAGGTTGTGAGTCAGGTCACACAGGGATGCACCGCTCCAGAGAGAGGGGAGGGCAGAGTGGGCATTGCTGGAGCCCCGTTGCCTTTCTCACATTCACTGAGTGGTGTTGCTTGGCCTGAAGAGACGACCAAATTATAAGCAGTCATTTTTACAGCCCCTTCGCTTTTCAGCTATCCCACAATTTCCCACAGCCCAAGATGTGAACTAGACTATAGTACCACAGTTGTAAACTACAGGTGTGAACTGCACCTCAGGGAAGCTGTGGATCTGATGAAATTTTCAAAATTCTGGAGGATGTTTTTCCCGGGTTGAAGGAGTTTGATAGGCTGGAGTTTGGTTTTGCTTCTTCACATTCTTCCCCTTTCTGTGAAGATGCAGTGGAGGCCAAGAAGAGCCGTTAGTGTCACAACTGACAGCGAATGTCCAGTCTGAATAGGGTCTAAAATCACCACTTGTGGAAGTTACAAATTCCAACTGCAAAAGGAGGCTGTAAGTCATCATGTTACAAGGTCATCTCCTGGGCTCACAACTGCAGTGAGAAGTGGCGAAGGGGGAGGCACAGGGTGAGGAATTTACGCTGAGCTCTTAGTCATGTGATGGTAACCTAGCAAGCCTGCACTGAAGCTAATTAAATGCCTCGTGTGGCTGTATTTTGAACTGATATGGTTTAAAATCTCTTCTTGCCCCTCCTTACCATACAGCTGCATATATGGAAGTGACTTAAAAGTGAGCACAGTACGCCCTTTCTTTTGATATATGTGCAAAATTGCATGTTGTTAGATGACTGTGTTCTGCCCCCACTTGAGGATCTCACTGGGTCACCTTAGTGCTGTCCTTGGGGTCCCCAGAACAGAGCTGTTGATCGCTTGGTGGATCTGGGGGAGAAGGAGGTTGAGGGGGCCAAAAGGCCTTTGGGGAATTTTGAGTGTGTGAATTCAACAGAGCCTTTCATCTTTGATTACCAGGCTTAATATTTGGCAAAGAAGGAAAAATATGCTGGTTATGGTGAAATAAAAAGAAACTAACTAGGCAAAAGAGATGTTAGAAGAAAATGAAGGTAGGAGCAGAATGGTTTAGAGAGCAGATGAGAGGTAAAGAGGATAAAAAAGTTAAAAGATAAATAAAAATAGAAATAATAAATTATTCAAAAAGGAAGAGGACATTCTTGGATTATTTTTGGTCATTTTGAGGAAAAGGTTACTTCTATTAACGTTGAGAGGGGAATTAGTTGTTAAACAGTTGGGCACAAAGGTGCGCACTCCCCAGAAGGCATCCCCTCAACTTCTCAGGGCCAGGGTGGGAAATGTAGACACAGACTTGCAGTTCATTTGGCAGATACGTTTGTAGAAATGTTGCTACCTACCCTTCCATTCATTAATCTTGCCAGAGAATTATGAATAACTCCATCCAAAAAAAGTTCCTTTTTGTTTTTTAACTTGTTTAAGAAAACATTCAACATAAGCCTCCATTTTTCAGAATTCCCTTTATGAAGCAGGATGGACGCAGTCACAAGGAGCTCTCATTGCTTTCCCCAGTTGTTGCATATGAGACTATAGGGACCCTGTGTATGTTTTGGTAATTGAAACACCAAGAGAAATACTAGGAAAATAACCCAGACTAAGAAGAGTAACAACAATGAAGGGTTATGATTTCCTAAAAATAGTAATGAAAAAATCTAATTGCTGTTATGCTCTTTTTGTTGGCAATTGTCACAGTACGCTGCGCTCTGAAGTGAAAGGAATTGTGGCTGCTGTGCACGTGAAAGAAACCAAATGTTCGGGGGAAAATAGCACAGGCATTGCAAATATAAGTAGTACATCAAGGATGCAATTTGTTCTCTTGTTAATGCCATGTTTTGATGTTTGGGAATGCAGGGGCTGATTTAGGTTACAGGTTTTTTTAAAAAACGACTCACCCAAATCCACTGTAACTCTTTGTTGGTTTCTTCTAAAGCCCAGGCAATCCTTAGGAGTTGTAGAAGTACAACATTTTTTTTCTTTTTGGTTCTTTTTTATGTTCTGTTCACAAAGCCAGTTAATTAATGAGAATAGGGAAAGCATGCAGTAGAATTAAGAGAAAAAAAATGTATATTGTTAATCTCAAATGATTATTACTCTACATCATGTAGATAATTTCATTGTGCTCAGTTTCTTAGTTTTGCACACAAATAATTGTGTCGCTAACTGGTCATTTCTACACACATTTGCCTCATTCACAAATATAACCACAGCAATTACTCATACAAATTGAGCATCCAGTTACATGCATATTTATATACCGCTTTTTGTTCGGAAAGGTATGTTTAAATCCCTTTGTAGGAGCCAGTAATCTATGCCAGTCATGTCGAGGGCACAGAAGGAACCTAATCCTCCCTCACTTCATGTGGGCCACCTGTCATACCAAGCGCGGAGAGGCCATTTGAAGGACCCGGGGCTGACAGCAGCGCACAGCTCGCACAATGCCAGGCCTCTCCCTCCGCTCTTGCCTTTATGCAGGGATCAAAGGTATGAAAAGGGGCCTCACACATGTGCCAGCATTTGACTTATGGGGTCCTGTAGAGGCCAAAGTAGGAACTCTGCCTCCTACCAGGCAGATACACATTGGGACCTTCCAGACACCTCCATTTCCAAGCATCGCACTTGTATTGCGTGGCCTCATTTAGCCAGTTTTAAGAAGCAAACAACTTTTTCTGGGAAATGAATGTTTATTTAGCTGTGGCCATACTGTGCCATTCATTTTTAAGGAGGATTTACCTGGAGACCTCTGTTTAAAAATAAAGAGCACAGAACAGTCGTTATCCTCACGCTCAGGGCTTCTCCTGCCTTCGTCCTCCTCCTCCTCTGTATACCCCAACCTGGGAACTGGCCCTTCTGTTTTCAGATCCATAAAAACAAGCCATTGCAGAACCGGCGGGAAGGCCCTGCATCATCTGGTTTAAGTCAGCAGTGTTTTTGAGACACCTCTTAAATGGAGATCAGAAGGATGGCTGCTAATCAGTAGGAAAGTTAAAATAACGTAGTTATTTTGGGGAAAAAAGCGTATTTTCATACCTGATTTTGTCATAATAACTAGTGTTTTGAAGACCTTTTGCACTACAGAATCAAGATCCTGGTGCAAACACTTGCACGCCTGTGTTGTCCCATGAATGCAAGGAAGCTACGCGTGTATGAAAAAGTGGTTGCATAAATGCTTGCAGAATCACAGCTTAAGTTCTGCATGACAGCTCTCAAACTACAGATGTTTAGCCTTTGCCAAGGTTGCTTTTTCATCTACAAGATGTGTTAGAGGCAGGGAAAATGCACTGTATTTTTTCATTTAAGCAAAATAGTATTTTTCATAACCATGTGGGAATGAAGTGTTACCTTTATAATAGACTGATTATACAAATAATGCATCCTCCTGCCTGACTTCTGTATTTTGATTCATAAGAAATGAAGGGAGCGAGGATCTTGTAAGTACAAGTAGTTTCTACTCCAAAAATATTTTAATGGTATTTTAATTCTGCCATTCCAAAGCCCAAGTGATGAGTATTTAGAAGAGAAATTTCAAGCAGTGAAATTTTCCAGTGTGCTCTTTCATTTGGTGGTGGACACTGAATAAGAAGCTCCTGTGTTTCTCACAATAGCCCCCTCCAGCTCATCACTCCTTTTCATTTCATTGTTATATCCGCGCTGTAGTTAAAACGTCTCCCTCCAGGATGCAGGGGAGGGGAAGGGGGTGGAGAGGAAAGCAAACACAAAATGGGACGAAGTTTGTTATTATATAGTTGGTCTCTAACATCTGTTCTCATCTTTGAAAAATTAATGCTTTGACAGGACAGCAACTAGGTAAAACGAGAACTTTTTTCTTGGTAATATCAAGCACCCAAGTTTCTCTAATATTCTCTGATGCTAAGAAATGTTCTGTGGCAAATGCCAAAGTGAGCATAAACATAACTCAAGTATTTACAAATGTACATGTGTTCTACTGAGATTTGTGACAAACTGTTGCATTGCAAAAAACTGTGCAGAAACTTAGGGGATCTCTCCTGTCGGGAAAGCCTAATATTAGTGGCAGTATTAAGCTTGTTGCAAGCCTTTCAGCAGCAAAATACTTGAATGCCTGGAAATCAAGGCAATGCAGCGTTACTTTTGACGAGGTGCCTCAGGCAAATTTTGCCAGTGGGACCAATGTGTGTCAATCATAACACAGCTTCTACATCATCTTGGAAATGGGAATAACGTCTTTTAAAATTTGCCTGCTTGTTAAATAGACACTATGGTAGTGCTTTCCTGTTGAAAGGGGGAAAGTTAAGCTGTTTCGTCTTTATCTGAATTTGTTGCTATGAAAAAGTGCCTGTCGATCTGGACCCACCTACCAGTGAATAGTAAAAGAGACAACCTGCACCTGTGGGATTAGGTGCAGCAGCAGGAAGTAAGAGCACTTGCAGCATATAATTAACAAGGATTTTTTTTTTTTTTTCCCCAAACAGCATGTTCATCTTGCCAGGTTAACTAGTGATTAACCCTAAAAAAGAATGTGCTGAAGCCTACACCCTTGTTTAAACTCATTCACTCGCCGGTGTATTCAGTTACTTGTGTAACCAGTGACAAAGTAACCCTATTTACAACTCTTCATTTCCTGGTATTTTATTTGATGTCTTTGTGTTTCCAGTTTCTCCATTCATCTCTTTGTTTGGTTCTCTTTCATTTTCAGATAGGCAAAACATCTTGTCTGCTGTTCTGAATAAAATAAACCTACAATAACTTTTTATCTATCATATAAGAACACTTTTTTTTTTCACTTGGGGAAGTTACAGAATACCTTTTTTCATACTTATCTGGATAAATATACCAGGTTAAATTCTTCTTCCAAAGATGTGCAAATAACTCTCTCCCATTAACTTCAGCAGATGTTCTGCCAGAGATGCAGAGGAGCAGAACTTTTTATTTTGGGTATAGAAGTGGAGACTGAGTTGCTTAAGTCTGTCCAATGTTAGTAATGAAATGCCCCCTGTGACAGTTACTTAAAATAAGTCTCAGTTTCTGTTAGTTTGTTTTTTAAGGTACATCCAATTGCTTTTTTTTTTTATTATTATTCTATGTTAGCCCAGGATTTTTTTGAAGTTTAATAATCCAAAATAGGAGAGGAATCTTAGGATCCTGTGATCAGAGGCTCCCATCTAATACATAATCCCTATTTTTAAAAAAAGTTAAAACGTAAAGTATATAGCATTAAACCTGGTTTGATGCTTATAATAGCTTTCTTCTTTCACATGCTTAGAGAAAACAAATAAATTCAGTGCATGCGATACGGAGAGATAATGAAGTATTTGATTCACTACTGGTTCATTCAATGTTTACTGTGTGTTTTGCCCACGATGAGCAGGGATGATTAGCTTGCAGTGATTTTGGTGAGTTTTTAAAACAGAGTCCTACTGTCAGAGTATTGATAACTTCCTTACCCAGACATATTTCTACTGTAGGCAGTGTTTAAAAGGAAAATTAATTTTTTTTTTCCACAGCAATTTCAAAGATAATTATCCTGCACATATTAAGAAGGATGAAGTGTTTTAAAGAACTGTAATTCTAATTGGTAAATGTCACCAGCTGTTGCAGTTACTCTTACTTGTGTATATTCTTTTAATGATTACGCTCCTGTGCCACAAGCTACATGAAAATATATTCACTAGGTGTGAAATTCCCATATGTCACAGCTTCAAGACTAGGTAAACATCTCAAAGATAAGGGGAGAGTTAATGCTGATGGGAAATGTTATTTTTCTAGCTTTGGCTGTCTGCAAGATGAACATTTTTTATTGAACTTAGTCAAAGAAAAAAAATTGCATGAATCGGAGAACCATTAGGTTTTAGCATTCAGTGGAAGATGCATTTTTACATTTAGTATATATGTATCCAATTCATTTGTTAGATTATCATCTCCCTCACCCACCCCCCGAGGTTTCAAAATATTTTCCCATTATGCCTCCAACTTAAAACGAGTTCAATGCCTATAAATTGCCTATCAAGTTTTAGAAAGTGCATAAGGTTTCAACACTGGTTGTATTCTTTTCTAACATCAAAAATGAATATACTAAGGGAATATATGAGGCTTGCTGTTTTAAATCTCCGAAATCACTTTATGATTTAGTTTAATTTAAAAACATTTCTGTCACATTTTAATGACAAAGGCACATTTTTATGGATGAAGTCTATTGATTTCTGTGAACGAGGTGTTCCAACAGAAAACCGTTTTATCTGTTGTAATGTTACATCTTTATTTGTACTCTTAGGATCAAGGTCTGTAACTCAGATGTAAATATAAATGGCCCTGCTTTCCTCTTAAGAGTTTCACGTAGGCACATATGTATGTGATGATAAGGTTTTGAAATGAGCTTTCCTTGCCTCTGGAATGACCAATCTAAATGTGCAGGAGTCATTTCAGTTTTTCAGTGTGAGCTTTGGAGAGGCCAGGAACCAGGCCATTATTCCACATTTAACTGTTACTTTTAAGAAATTAAACTTCCATTGATGCACATGTATAAATGAAAAAGAAAATCATCTTAATTGAGATCATATTCCTATATGTGTCCACGGTAGATTCAGGAAAAAAAAAAAAGAGAAGTAGCTCGTGATCCAGGAGGTTTCATTCACTACAGCTTTGAGGGGAGAACGCTCTCATCCTAGTATTGTAATGGCAGTTTCTGGACAGGTATTAGTTTGGGCATGTTGCACCTTTCCTTCCCTCTTGTGCTTAGACCTGTTTATATACGTTATAATATACTACATACAAGATAATAAGGAATGAGAAAAATTAAAAGTTATCCACTTGTAGACTAGAAAGGAAGCCTTACTATAAAATTTTATGTAAATATTTTAACTATCTGAGCATGTTTATGCATACAGGCCTTTAAAATGTTTTACACGTACAGCTTTGTACATATGGTGTTTTCAGACAAGGCGGCTTTTGAGAAACAGAGATGACTTATGCCTGGGAATTCAGGGACTGGGTATAGCTGCTTTCGTCCTCCTTCCCTAGAGCTGTTAACTATTCTGTACAGAGTCAGCCTTAGCCAAATCTGAATCCTTTATAAATAGCTTTGTGCCAAGGCTTCCTGTAAAGTATTATAAAACTTGGCCATCTTTTGCATGCCATGAACTTTAAAAACTATTATTTGGGAGCAAGTGATACTTTTACAAACCTGCTCACACAGAGAGCGTTTCCAGAAGACTTTCCAAAGCACTTATGTTCATTCTTGGTTCCCGTTAGAGACAGGTAAACTCCTGACGAGCTCTGCATACGCTGCCAGGCAAGGAGATGTTGCAGGCTGTTAGGGGCTTTAGTGTGGAACAACATTTGGTGGCTACAGAGATCCAGAAGTCACAGCTGGGCAGGGGAGAGCAGTTTCAGCAACCACTCTGGCTGGTCTGACATAGTATCACAAGCACACGACATATCCTAGCCTGTCCCATGTTTGGGAGCGTGGTATGAAAGCTATGCGTACTCCGCTATTCATCCAGAGCATCGATCAGTACAAGGGAAACATTTTGGCCCTTGCTCCTTCCCTAGTCATCCTCTCTGCTGATTATGCCGGTGCAACAGTTTCAGAAAAATAAGGGTACAGGTCTACTCTCCTACCAACCCTTTTATGCCGTTGCTGTCAGGGAAATGCTTGAACTTAGTTTGGATCGGTATTAGTAGAAGCTAACCTCAAACACAAAATTCATCTGTACATTGGAAGCAAATCTGAGGCAACACAAAAAGAACTGAATGCTTTTTTTAACCGTTTTCTGAATGTGATAGCTATGAGAGCCTCACTAACAAAAAAGGGCAACATGTCAAAGTCTGCCGTTGATGTTACCAAAGCCAAGACTTCACTCCATTACACACGGCAATCTAGATTTATGACTCACAGTATCCATAAATTATGAGACTGAGACCTTTATTAGTAGTGAACCATCCCAAACTTGGAAACTAACCCAGAATTCACAGCAGATTTAGTAAATGCAGTTTGTACACGTGTGAACATTGTAACATAATCTCAGTTTTTGTTATG